GCTTTACTCTCGTTAACAATAAGTAAAAGTTTGATTGCTCGTGATTAGGATGGCGGCTGCTCCACTCGCGCCACCCTAAGGACGGCTCTGATATATATATATATATATATATATATATATATATATATATATATATATATATATATATATATATATATATATATATATATATATATATATATATATATATATATATATATATATATATATATATATATATATATATATATATATGTATATATATATATATATATATATATATATATATATATATATATATATATATATATATATATATATATATATATATATGTATATATATATATATATATATATATATATATATATATATATATATGTATATATATATATATATATATATATATATATATATATGTATATATATATATATATATATATATATATATATATATATATATATATATATATATATATATATATATATATATATATATATATATATATATATATATATATATATATATATATATATATATATATATATATATATATATATATATATATATATATATATATATATATATATATATATATATATATATATATATAGGTCCGCCGCTACCCTTTATGACGCCCGAGGTCAAAACTTATCGAGCGCCCTGTCATATTGATCTAATTCAAAAAAGTTTAGGTATTGTCCAAATACTTTTTTTTTTTTTTTTTTTAACTAAACTCACTTTTAAAGGCCGAGGGAGTAAATACAGTCAAGGAGGCTTCTAAATAGTTTTATAAAAATAAAAATAAATTTGAAATAAAAGTAAAAAAGAAACATAACTTGACAAGTTACTGAACTTTATTACATTGCGAGTAACTATGAGTTTTAAATGTAATAGATATTTTAATTGCTTCATGTGAATTTGACTCTATGGGCATAATTTAAACCAAAATTTGGAATGACTTTTTGCAAGGTCGTATTCAATAGATATAACTAAGACATTGGTAAGCCGGTCTTGACTTATTGTAGATCTTAATTTTATCTAGACCAAGTTTACTGAAAGATCTCTCTTTCGGCAATGGAAACGAGAATCGTGTTAAAAATACGTAACAAAATGCTTATTGATTCGAAGATAGACTCTAGACCTTTTTAATAGATTCCATTTAATAGCTTCATTAAAGTGAGATATTCTTTTTGACTGAAAAGCTTGGCGTGCTTCAGAATATCCAGATGATGGACCTCTAAAATTAGTTTGTCTTCATTTACATTGTTCACATAGATTTGCGCTAAAGTTTTACATTTCTCCTCCAGGCTAGGTGGTTCAATTTTCTTCACTCAACCTACTATTAGATTCCGAGAACCATAGGAAGGAGAAACTGTTTGTCATTTTTTCTGCAGCTCTCTTATTTGATGGGTTAAAGTATAGAGAGCGGTGTTCTTCAGCCGTTTTTCAAAACGCCTTAAAGTAAAGAAAATCAAAATTGAGTTTTTTAGAAAATAAGCTTATTTAGGTGCCTGCAAAAGTTATTGAATAATTGTTTTTAACGAACTTTGAAAAAGTTCATACAAATTATAATTTTCAATAAACGTTTTACAAAAACTTTTTTGTATTATTATTTTTTAATGCGTTTTTCTCAAAATACGTAAAAAGCATCTAAAGGCGTTTTGAAAAACGGGTACAGTGTTAAATATGTTCACCTCAAACTACTTTTCATCGTTTTCGTAGAAATGAACTTCATTCCTTGGTTTTCCTCTTCCTTGTCCTTTTTTAAACTAACTTTGACTAAAACCCATAACTAGCTAGACCGGAGGTAACCAAAGGTCCTTCATTAATTAATTCGGGCCAAGAACATCTAAATTCATAAGATCCTCGGTAGAAACCCTCATAAGCTTCATCTCTTCATCTAAAGTAATGTTTCCTGATTGAAATGACACTCTGAAAATTGCCTAGCGCGCTTCGAACCAGAAGGTTGTCATGATAATAAACTCAAATGAATAAATCTATTTCTCCAAAGATTTTACTTCATTCAACAGATCAGCAGTTAAATCAAGTTCCTGAAGTTTCTGCAAAGAAAAAATAGTTTCTCTAAGTTGCTTAACCAACGGCTGCAAAGTCTCAATCCGTGCACTCCATCGGGTTTGTGAGATTTAATGAAGAGACAAACCAGTTGTCTTAGTCAAGATTTCACATTGTATAGGGCTTCCACTAAAATGATTGTAGAGTAACTGAATCCTGCCACTATAGTTCTTTATTTCTACAGAAGATTTAAGGGAATGAACACCAGCTAGCTTAATGTTATGAGCGCTGCATAGCATGTAGAAAGCTTCAGGATTTCTCTGAAGGATGATCGCTTTTACTCCTTTGTACACACCAGACATGTTGGCACCGTTGTTGTACCCTTGACCTCGACAGATCTTCAGATTGATGATCTTGGCAATATCCACAAATTTCTTTTGTTTTAGATTTTCGACCTTAAGAAAACGCTAATTAACTACCTGTCTTTTATAAATACCATTGTAGAC